GCCCTGAGGCGATCGTGCACCGAGGGGGCCTTGAGGCAGTGGTGCACCGAGGGCCGTTTCGAGGTGTCCCCGCGCCGTTGAGACGCGGAGCTTTCGGCCTGTTGTACCGCGGTGGTCTCGAGAAGGTCTCAGAGCTCGCCGCGGACCCGTCGCCCCTCCGTGGTAGAGGGCTCGGGCATCGCTCATACTAGCATTGCTGCTGCCGTGATGTTCTGGCTATCGCGATTGAAGATTGGGGGTTGCTCACTCCCTAGTCGTTGTTGTTGATGCGGTGGTGGACGTCGTGGGCCCTCCACCGGGCTCCTCCGCCATCACCGCGACCTCGCTGCTCCTGCTCGAGAGTCTCTCGGAGCTGCTATAGCAGGAGTCAGTCTTGGTCGACTTTTGCCTAGAGCTCACGGAGCTGCTCCAGGTCTAGGCATCGAAGTTCCTCGGGGGCGGCGTTCTCGTTCCGTGCTGCCCGAGGCTCGACGGGTGGAGGTGTGGCGTTGCCTGCCCCTTGGCAGAGCGGGGAGCGATTGCCTGCCCCTTCACTCTCATTACTTACTCCTGGCATCCCGAGCCTAATGTGGAAGCACTCTCGAGTAGGATCATAAGTGCCTTCGTCATCGGAGTCGGAGTAGCCGAAGCAATAGTTGCTTGCGGCCAAGAAGAGGCGCATAGCTTGGGGTTCGCGAAGTCCGGAGAAATCTACTCCGACCCATGCCTCGTCCTCCTCCGAGGAGTCAGTGTGGGTGTGAGCCGAGGTTATGGTGGAGAGGTCAAGGGCGAAACGTTGGTGACGTCCTGAGGGCTCCGTGTGAGCGGAAGCGTAGGCGAAAGCAAAGGTGGTGGCGGCATTTCTCAACCCGAAGGGGTACAGGGATGGTGCCATTGCTAGGCCCTACTCCATCGGAGTTGGATCCTCAGGTGGTGGTGGTGCGGAACTTGATGACGGGGCATCGCTGCACGTCACCGGTGTCTTTCCCCTGCCTAGGCTTGAGCTAGACAGGTCCCCAACCAGGGACTTCGTACCAACAGCCGGGAATGGGATACCGGCGAAGCGCGGCGCGTCACCCTGAGCTCGTGTGGTGTCGGGGTGGTCCCGCTCGCGTCGTGCCTGGCGAGGGCGACGAGAGCGGTGGCCTAGGCGCCGCCTGCGCCTGGGCTATGGGTGCGCGATGCCGTCGTCGGCCAAAAGTGCTCTGGGTGGGAGGAGTACTAGGTCGTATTCACATCCTAGAGACATGAACTCTAGGCCCCCAAACCAGATCACCGTGCCGAGACGTAGTGGGCGTATAGGATCTGCCATCCGGAACTTGTTGGGACGATTGAGCTAACACGCAACGTCCCCTATCTGGCGCGCCAACTGTCGGTGTTTTGGACCGGGGGTCCTCAACCAACTAGTGAGTTTGAACTGCGTGCCCCTAATCCCGGATGGTGATGCAAAGAAACACAAGGTTTATACTGGTTCAAGCAATCGGTGCCCTACGTCCAGTCTGAGAGATCGATCTTGTATTCCTTGCACCGAAGTGCTTGTAGTAGGGGGTTACAAGCTGGGCGAGAGAGGGAACTAGCCCTAGGTCTCTACGTGGAGTGGTGCGGGCTGCTTGAGATGTTGCTCTCAGGCAGCGGGGAAGCGTGTCTCTGAATCTACGTGAGTCTATGCGAGTGCTTGTCTGATTTTCCCCCCTCTAGAAACGGCCCCGGCCTCTCCTTTTATAGTTGAAGGGGGGACGGGGGCGATACATGTGTTTGCTATGCAGCGTCTCGTGAGCGGAGGTGGCGTGTCTAAGTCCTGTAGCTTGCTACTGTGGCGGCATGGTCAATGAAGTGATCTTGTCCTTGATGCAATGGAGCAGCGCGCCGGTCACATCTAATCTTGTGTGACGTGGGAGCTCCAGTGACAGCTTGGTGTAGGGTATGGCCGACGTCGTGCCGGTCGCTGTGCGCTGATAGTGAAAAAAGCCGAGGCTCGGTTGGTGCCGAGGCCGAGCTATCGTGGGGGGCTCGGCAGGCATGGATCCTGAGGCTGCCGAGACCCTAAAGTGGATTGCCAAGGCTTGGTGGGAGCAGTTGGTCCTATACACTGATTCCGATGCTACAGTGACCCGAACTTGACTCCCCACGCCGCGCTGTTCCTGGAGTAGGGATTAGGTGGCACAGTGTAGTACGGGTGCCAGTTGTGGGCGCAGTGCTGAGCACAGTGGCCGGTAACCCCTGCTCAGTCCTGTCTCCCGTCCCGTCGGCCGCTCTGCTGCACTGCGTCGATGTGCGGCTGACGTTGCGGGAGTGGTTGGATGCGTGACATTTTGTCAGAGAAGTCGGTCGAGACAGAGGCGACGAGGTTGTTTGCTGAGCCAGTCTCGAGCGAGTCGGAGAATCGGTATTTCGTCCGAGGCTTTATGAGCGGGGCCTCGGGCGAATCGGAGAATCGGTAACCCGTCCGGGGCCTAGCGGGGCGGGGCCTCGGCGAGAGGGCCTCGACAAGGCGGAGAGTCGGCCTTTCGTCTGAGGCCTTTGCGGCGCGGGCCTCGGGCGAATCGGAGAATCAGCCGAGACCCCGTGATCGTCCTTTGGCATTGATATTTGCAAGGTCTAAGCAATCTTTTCGGTTTTTGCTTAAGGTACCCCTTTTTATGGTATCCGACAGTTTTGGCTTAATCCTGGTCAGAATTGTTCCTGCTGCTGCTTGCCTATATAAAATACAGCTGTGTTCCTGGCCGGATCAATTTCTAGGCTCTATTCCATGCTATCCAAACGTGCCCTTAGTGTAATAGCGTAACAGGTACCACTGTCTTGCCAACATTGAACCAAACAACACCTTAGCCCAAGGCTTTCAAAATTAGATGTCTATATGGTTCGTTACTGGACTCAAACCAAACAAATTCTTAGGATTTGCAGCCGCAATACCGATTTGAGTGTTTGTATAACATAGGGCGTGTTTGGTTCTTCGACTTGGCCCCTAGCTAGGCTTGTTGAAGCCAGCTTAGGCATGTTTTATGGCATGAACAGGCTGCTAGCCAGGCCCCAACAAAGCCCTCAATGATCAGGCTACTTGGGAACGGAAGGATCGGTCGTTCCCATGAAGCCTGTCTTCGCCTAGCCGTCATGCTTGATTCCTATTACCACCTGTCGTTCGCCTTCTACCTTGTCCCTGGTCCGCTCGCCGCCCGCCGCCCCAGACTCCGCCCTCCACTTTGCCTCTGCCCTATCGAGCTCCATCTTTAGGCCCGCCATGCTCGTGCCTCCGTCTCCAATCCCTGCGTGCTCGTCTTCCTCTGCCCGTCGGTCGTTGCCCTACATCCGCCCTCCTCCTCGCCTCCAACTCGCCAGCCTCTACCCCGTTGAGTTCGACTCCACACGACTAGCGTAGAGGAGCCTCTTGCCGGCAGCGTCCATGGCAGCTAGCGTCAACCGGCAGGACAGGTTAGTGCGCATGACGAGGTGAGGTGGTGGTGCTGATACGCCATGGGTCACCACTGCATTCGGGGCTACTCTCCTACTGGCGATGAGGAACGAGTGATGGAAGAGCATGGTGTAGTCACTGACGACCGGTGACTGCTCGATGAAATGCCAACATGAACAGGTGATGGAGGTGGGAGGTGATGGAGGTACGGCCGGAGGAAAAGAAGGTGATTCTACTGTAGCAAATCAGACAACCAAGCAAAAATCTTTCCAACGCAGGCTTGACCAGTACGGAGCAACCAAACGTAAGGTTGTTACGTTGAGCAAACCTGACTTATTTCCTAGCCAGACTTGGACCGGTAAGTGAACCAAACACATCCATATTGACCATGAGAAATCTGCTCTCTGAATTAAATAATAGTATATCTTCAAAAAAATTTAATGCATTTGGTTAAAATTGAGACCAATTAACTTCTTAAAGTACGTAAGAGTGATACTCCGTATTTGTCGTTGACGAAGGGAGTACTCGTACTCCGTATCTCCCATCTTCGCAGTTGCAGCATGTCTATTTCGGAGGGCTTTGGCCTTTGGCGTTTGACCATTTGCTGTTTTTCACCTAACCGCTGTTCATTGCATTACCGGTCCAAAAAACAGGCCCGCCGCGGAAGTCGTTCACCTGACACTGCGCCCCAAAGTCGGGACAAAGGCGGTGCCCAAGTCTAGAAGTCCGGAGCCCAACAGCCGGGGCCCCGCCGGGACTGAGCCCTTGAGGCCTGGGCGTCAGCTTCGTGGCACCATCTGGACCACGTGGACCAAGCGTGTGCAACGAGCGCTGACGCGTCTCGTGCCTTTTTCCACTTGATCCAAATCTCGCCATTTCAAAAAACTCCCGGTAAACCTCGGGGAGGGAAAGCAGGCGTCGTCGTTTACCGCGGCTACCGCCTGGTACCGCGCTGTTGTTTTGCCGGGTTCGGTGCTTCAGCAGATGCGCCGTTTACCGCAGCACTACAGCAGGCTGTGTTGTTTAATTTGACACAAGTGTTAACGATGCTTATCTTACCTCGCGGCAAAGGCAAAGCTCCAGCTTTACTCAACGCCACAATGCCTACGTACGACTCGTCAACAATGTGCCGTGCGCATTATACTACGTTACGATCGAGTTACTACTAAATACACATCCAAATCCAATCTGAATCCATCCGTTGCTTCTCCCGTTGCGTTCCCGCGTCTCGTTTGTGGCTCTGGCAGTCTGGCGACTGACGGCGGGCGGACGGCGGATCGGATCGGATCGAATCAACCCGCCCCAGCTGGTGGCCCCACAGCACCCGCCATGGCCGGCGCGTTGGCGAGCGTGTATAAACTGGGGAGCCCTCACACCCACGCGAGGGCGACGCGAAAGCGAACGCCGACATCTCTAGGCTCTCTCGATCCGCCCCCACTTGGCCACTTCATAAACCAAGCTGCTGCTACAACCACCAGCCCGGCCGTCTCCGGTCTCCACCCGCCACTGCCGCTATCAGCACGCGTGTAGCTGTAGCACGCCGAGGCCGGCCGAGCCGTCTACTAGCGAGGAATCGATCACCAGGCAGAGAGAGAGAGAGCACGGGAGGGAGATGTCGCCGCCGCCGCAGCAGCAGGCGGCGATAGTCGGGGAGGAGTACTGCGAGGGCGAGGACAGGGAGCTGACGGTGCGGAAGACGACGCTCTTCACCCCGGGGGACGGGCTGGAGGCGTACGACCACCGGAATGGCGCGCTGGCGTTCCGCGTCGAGACGTACGGCCGCGGCGGGGCGTGCGGGGGCGGCGCCGCCAGGGGGGACCTCGCGCTGCTGGGCGCTCGGGGCGAGCCCGTCCTCACGGTGCGCCGCCGCCGCCCCAGCCTGCACAACCGCTGGGACGGCTTTCTCGGCGACGGCGCAGCGCAGGGACAGAAGCCCGTCTTCTCCGCGCGCCGCTCCTCCATCCTCGGCGCCGGCACCGGCGCCGCCGCCGTCCTCGTCGACCTCCTCGCGCCCGGCGTCGTCGCCGGGGAGTTCCGCGTCGACGGGTCCTTCCCGGGCCGCTGCTGCCGCGTCGTCGCCTCCGCCAAGGCCTGGGCCGCTGGCGACGGCAAGGACAAGGAGGAGGAGGAGGACGTGGTGGTGGCCGAGGTGAGGCGGAAGGTGGACGAGGACGCGCACGTCATGATGGGCCGGGACGTCTTCGTGCTCTGGGTGCGCGCCGGGTTCGACGCCGCCTTCGCCATGGGGATCGTGCTCGTGCTCGACCGGATCACCGGGGACGACGTCGACGGCGACCTGGGAGAGGAACTCCTCGAGGCCGCCACCTCGCCGGCGTAAGCCACGCCGGACCGACCTCCCGCTCCCGTACTCCACGATCCACAAACATTTTTCTGATGGTTCTTCTTCGTCGTCAAAGTTTGGATCTTTGGCTTGTGAATTGAGCTCGTTGTACTTTACCTTTGAGCATGATGTGAATTACTGTATTATCTTCTCAATTCGGTGCTTCTTTTTCCTTCCACTACCTGAGTTGACTTCGTCAGAGGTCCCGTTGTTTTCGGAGCCAAAAACGTGGAATTCCTGTGTGGCAGTGAAGTGAAGCTGCCTCTTTCAAGCCGAGAAAATGGACGTCATTTACGTGGGCGGCAATGCACGGACTGCGGCTGGGCGGTGGCAAAAATCTCTTGCCCTTTCGGTATAAACTGCTGTGGAGACAGGACAAATTGACACTCCAGAGGCTGCATTGATTTTTCTGTTTGGTACAGTAGCAACATATCCAAACTAACCAAAAGGCAGGCGTATCAGAGGCGGCGTCAGATCTCATCAGCCGCACGGGTGACAGGTTTGCGAATAAAAATGGAAGAACTAATAGATATAAACAGATTCTCCCAACGAATGTCCAGCCTTTTCCATCACAAATAAACCATAAGCTGTTCGGCTGGTATTAAAGCCGGCTGAAGCTGTTTTGTTGTGAGAAAAAAATACTATAAATTCTAGCTGATAAGTTCAAGCGAACATGCCCTAAATATATATTCTATAATATGACATTGCCCTAAATATATATAAGTTCAAGCGAACAGGCCCTAGTATTTGACGTTGACACAAGTCCACAATATGACATCGACCATAAATATATATTTGTAATATACATTCTATAATCCTAATGAAGCTGTGATGTAATGGAAGTATATGTGGAGCAGTTCTACTCATCATCTTATCAGCAAATGTTTGCTCAGCATCTATCTAAGAAAATATTTGACATCAAAGGTACATCGACCATAAATATTTATCTGTATATTTTGTAAACTTAATGAAGTTTTTATGAAGCAGTGGAAGTATCTTTGGTGCGGTCCTACACATACCATCTTATCAGCAAACGTTTGTTCAGCATCTAATCCCCCAAAAAAAAGTTCATAACAATAAATAATAAAAGGGCATGCATCTCGTGCATCCCAACTATACACCTTTTGAATGCCAGCATGTACAAACAAGAAGATTCTGCTGGCATGTCCGGAACACACACTGTCAAGAAAGAAAACTGGGGGAAGCCCCTTCTATGTCCACGGAAAGAATCAAATTGAATTGCCAGTCTATGTTAAGTGAGAGTTGTGTCTTTCATAACCTAAGAGCCACCACTACTGTTGATTCCAAAGTAGATGGTCTTGCGATTAAATGCATTCATAGCGTAGTCGACACGGATCTGACCTAGGTCAGTGTTGAAGTGAAGCCCATATCCAAATCCAATACCAAATCCTGGTTTCCCTTGCCGCAGAGCTGGATTACCTGCAGTTATGTGTGAATAATTGTTCATGTTACTGATACTACTGAAAAAATGATTTCCATAAGAACATAGAAACACTGCATCTGATGTAAAGAAATCTCGAGGATGTTGAAAACTATATTTTCCATAACTAGAGATGAATATGCAATCATCAATTATCGATCATGTGTTGTTGTGTTTCTCTAAGTATTATCATACTGCACACTGATGTCTATCATGCAAATTATTGATTGTCTTTCTCCATTCTATATGATATGTTATCTAGGCGTTTACACAAAACCCCCTGCTAGAGATCGCATCCCATATAGCAGGGCAGAGTAATTTATTTCAGCTTCTGGTGAATTACAAACTTAGCAATCCCTGGTCTGAATTATGGATGTTTACAAGATTCAATAAAGCTTCCATTGTTTTTCTAAAAAATGAAACTAATTGCACTTAGCTTAAGAAATTATGATGTTACTTTCTTGTGAAGTATTCAAGTAAGCAATGAACCTCAAGTCTATTTTTGAAACTAATAGAAATCAGTGAACTAGTATGTGCAGAGGACACAACACCCTTACCAGGGACATGACGAGCAGATCCTAAGTCACTGCCACAGTCCAGGAAAATAGAACCCTCCAGATGCTTCACCTTCACAGAAACATGTCTCAATACTTTGTGGTTATGCCAAACAAATATCACTGTTCTGGATACTAGGGATTTATTGGACAGCACAAAGATAAACAGAATATCAAAGATTCACAATAAACTGATGTTGGTGAGACATTTCCATGGAAAGTTCTTAGTGATTGCCGATTTCTTGAAAAAAATCATGATTGGTGATATCAAAATTCTTAGTGATGCTGTTTCTTGAAAATTCTTAGACACTTCCATGGAAAATTCTTAGTGATAAGATTCTCAACACTAGTTTTCATAAAATGCTGGAGCTAGATTGGTAATGCTGATTCCTTGAAAATTGTACTGATCATTGTTTCTCTCCAACTAGAGACTGATTACTGATTTCTGGTTAACTGCAAATTTTGCAATCCCATATCTTGCTTAAAGGATTCAAGAAAACTTCCAAGTTAAAAAAAAAAAAACTGAACATGAACATATCTTAAACTGTGTGATCGGTGGAGTTGTGGGTGGCTGCAACTACCACCGTAACTTAAAAAATGGTTTCACATTCAACAAAATCATCAAAGAAAAAACTCCAGTGCAAGGGGCAGATGTTAAACAACTCAACATGAATGGTGGGAAGTACATGGAATCAGCACTTGTTTACTGCTCTAAACAGTGTGCAACTCTAAAGGGATGATGCTTAATAGCAGGCTAGCGGCAACTCTCAAGATTCAGATCTTGTAGCATAACAATTCAGTGATCAACATGAAATATTCGAAATTATGAGTAGAACAATCAGATCATTAGTTTTTACTAACAAGAGCACAAAAGGCCTTCGACATTTGTCACATGATAAACTGAGAATAGTCAAACATGTCTCACATGATAATCTGTGAACAGAAATCAGTGAAGCCTCAAGGTCCGGAATCAGGAAACCGCAAACTCATAATTAACCATTTGTTAATCGGTAAACTAACTAGCTAAAATAAGTTGCCACTTCATTTGACTAGTCAAAAGTAAGTGCTACGGCTTTCATATGTGGTGGTGGTGTCAACTGCTTGTCTATTCATCTTTCTCTAGCACGGTTTCCATTCCCTTTGCTATAAGTACCAGATTTTTTCCATCTACTATAAGCACCAAAAAACTCCATAAAATAGATTGGGTATATTTGACATTGACATACCAGGGGAATTGTATATTCACAGTTAGCAATTAGACATAGTCTTCCTGAACCAACAGCGCCCTCACCATAGCCTCGGACACTACCAAGTCCACCTATGGCAAAAGCTTGATATGGTGCCATGTCCCCCACAATGGATCCGCCTGTCAAACTGTGAGGTAGAGAGATATGAACCATCAGAGAAGAGCTTTCTAGAGAATGAATACTAGGGGTAGGTATTACCTAGTAACCAAAAATGTCGGACCCAACTTAATGCCTTTTGAAACTGCACATTTAACTCTATTGAAGGTCAGTGACTTTGGTACAAGTGGCAATCCTTGTTCCATTTGGAAGTTAACCTACCAATAAGAGTTACTGTATAAGGTAGCCATTATGGTAGAAATAGCATCATAAAGTAGGCATAACTTACTTTTAAGAAGCTATTGTCATTGACATCTGCATAACCAGATTCTTGCTTCAAGATGATCATGTTGTCATGGAGGTTACCACTGCATGACAATTAACAAGAGTATTAATAAGCACTTTCAGCTCCAATTTAAAGAAATCCCCAAAAAAATCATCACCTGCATGTCAGAGGAAAGCCGTCTTGGTCTCTGGCAATGGAGTGGCCCTGATTATTAACAGGACAGATATGCTGTGGGAAAAAGGTAACAGCTAAAGAACGTGTAGAACATGAAATTAACGATAATCAATTGAAATTAAGTCGAGGCCCACCTCAAATTTAACACTAGTTCCCGACGTCCAGTTTGATGTGGCTGGTTCATTAAGCTCCAAACCAAATGACAATCGACTAAGGTTTATCCCTCTGCTCCCTGATCGTGTGAAGTTATCAGCAGGGAATCCATGGACGGCAACTTCTGGTGTCATTGAGTGCTGATTGCTCAAAACATAGGAAAGTGAGAACAAGTGTAAATTTGGTCAAAAGATTACAACAACAATAGGTTTCCAGTGCTTCAGATTTACTTTAGATAAGAAACATAAAAGGATAACCAAGATACACAACGCAATGCCAACCTGAACTACAAATGATTGCTGTGATAACCACTCAGGCCTTGGGCGTCTATAGGCAACAACAACATTGGAGTCATTGATTCCTTTATCCAATATCACATCCAACTTCTCACTTCTCCCAAAGAGGTTTGGGTGTTTGAGAGAGATCCTGCGGGCCAAACTCTAGATTCACAACACAGTAGTACAACTGTAGACAATAATGAAGACATACACCTACATATATTTACACAGACTCGCAGAAAGATGCATAGGCATGACGCCCAAATGCACAGATCTGGTATGGAGATAGTGTAGTAATCTGCACGTGCATGAAGTCATGAACAGGCAAGACATTGATGTGCATGTGCAAGAACGTGCTAGGACAGGCATGTTCTAAGCACCAGGCATCAAAGGCATGCGCAAAGAGACAGGGAAACACCGGATGCTAAAGTACAAGGTGCACTTGAACAATTTACAGTGGATGCAAAACATACACACGCCTACCTTCCAACGATTTGCGATAAAGTGACGCCAGAGCTTCTGAAACCACCCAGAACAACAGCAGGTCAGGATTATACGCAAGAAAAACCAACCAAGAAGGCACGCACACATCCATTAGAGGCCTCCCTAACAGGCAAAGTACCGAGCACCTGAGGGGCGGCAGCAGCAGCACCTCGCACAGCATGTGGGTGAGGTCGACTTGCATATCCACCTTGGCTGCGGCATTTCCACGAACAGATGAGCGACGCCAGCAAATTACCAACACGCGCAACAACAGCCACGAACAAA